AAACCTCAGATGGCTGGGATCTCTGGTTTTAGGATAATCTAAGATAGCTGTCCCCAGCAGTACCAGGCTGAGGGGCAATTTGATTAAATTTTTTATTAATATGAGGATCACAAATGAAGCTGAAGAATAAGGAGCCTGGAAGTTACACCACCCACTCACCACCTGAGATGAAATGGTGTGTCATCCCAGGAAAGGAACAAGGTCACAATTTAGTCAAATGTCATATGTACACCACTGCAGCGCATATAATTTAAAAAAGAAGAAATGAAGCTTATTTATTTCTAAACTAAATAACCCATAAATATCAAGGCATTTGAAGGCAGTGAATTGTTAAAATTAAGGGGGTTTGGGTGTATCTGTGATCAGGGTGAGGGAATGAGACTTGGCTTTCATTGACAAACAAATTTAGAAAAATAGATTCAGCATTGCTACTATAACTGGAAATGGCTTGGACAAATTTAATCCAACTTCCCTGAGAATTCCTAATTAATCTCAGGCCCGGGAGGAAAATCAAGATTAAGATAGGAAGTCTCCATCTGTACTAAGGGCAGAGGAACTTGGGGCCTCCGTGTCCACAAAGGGCATCACATGACCCCTCCCTGGGGGATCTTCTCGGAGTGCCTCGCTTCTCTCTTGGCTTTGGCTTCAAGTCTATGAGAAATGTGGACCCGGCTACCGATCTTACTGCCTGACCTGAGTTGGAGACCCACGCCCACCACAGCCCAGGAGACAAGCGACAAATACGAGCCCCATATTTAAGATGTAGCTCAACCTTTGACCACTAGAGGTCTCCTGGAAAGCAATGACCCGTATAACCCGGTTTATCTTCCTTCAAACCAATAGACTTGTTGCACTAAGACTTGGCGAGCCTGCTCTGCTGGAGGCCGCCTTATTAATAACGCCACCCACCCCCACCGCTGAGGACGGCGCCAGGCTAGGAAGGGGGAGGGGACTAGGCGGTGGCTGACCCTCAGTGCTGGTTTTTCGATCCACGAATCAGTCCGCAGACTCCGGGGCTACCCCCTCGAACCCCACTTCCTAACCAAGCAAGACGGGAGAGCCCCTAACTCAAGGTCCCCAGGTGGGCAGCGCGGAGTCCCACAGACTTCCAACCAGCGGTGGACTAGCCAACGGACCAACGTGCAGAATCACCTAGCATCAGGTCCACCAACAGGCCAGGATCCACCCCCTCCCCGGGCTTCGCCCCCACTCATTCCTGCCCCCTCCCCCCCTTCATCTCCTCCCTTTGCCTCCCGATCGCCAAAGTGGCCCGAGTTCAGCCGGTGGAAGGAGATTAGGGAACCTTTCACGGTCCCTGTTCTGATCCATGCGGTATTTTCTGCAAAAATTAGCGGCTTCTAGCTGGAAGAGGAAAGGAAAAAGGAGGGGGGAGACGAGGGGGAGCAAGAAAGGAAACAGCCAGGTTGAATTCCCAGTCTTTATCAAGCAGTTCGCTCACCAGTGAAAGAAAGCTGCAGTGGCAGATTCGAGCCACATGCGGTAGTGTGTAGCAATTAGTAGATAAAATGCTGACTAAAGTGCTAAAACATGAAGTATTATTGTAGCCAAGGTCAAAAATGCTTCAGTTGTCTTTTGCAATTTGGGGGAGGGGGAGGCCCAGAGGTGCGCAGAGAGGTTTGAATTTTCGAAATGGTTGCCTTCTTTCTTCAAACTGTACTTTTTTTTTTTTTTATGATCCTGTTTATTATAGCCCAAGCTGCCTAATTATGTCACTGCTGGTTTTTGCAACTAACTTAATCCTCCTGATCCTTTATGAAACGATTCACAGGCACTGAAAAAATGTGTCTACTGCTTCCCCACCCCCTTGAGGGGGTGAGAATGATTTATTTTGTATTTTTTTACCTTTTAAATAAACCAAATAAAACTGAGAGTTGGATTTGGGGCTAGCAAAGCAGCAGGAATATAGATGTGTGGGTATAGGGTCCTGTGTTTCAGTGTAAGAGAGCCCAGAAAATAGTGGGTCATATAAACATATACTGCTTTATTTCCCACTCCTCTTTTATGCACAGTGAGTCCCAGCTACAAGCTTTTTTATAGATAAATAAAGCAGTTGCTTTCATGATTATAACTGTCCTGAATGGATTGTCTTCTTACAACATTCGATCTGTTTATGAGTATTTACTTTACATTAGCCCAAGGACCCTGCACTGCAGGAGTTTGTCTCTATTCCCCTGGGTGTCGGTGTCTCAAGTCTTACATCTGCTCTGTGATTGATGGAGCCTTGAATCCACGTTATTACTCTCTCACAAGCAGAAATCAAACAGGCTATTAACTACATTACTTCAAAGAACTGTTTCAATACAATCTCCTTATCTTAATTGAAACTTTCTTTGTATGGATATTTGCTACACAGATAATTTACAGGTGCCTATCAAGCATCATATTAAAGAGGTAAAATAGATGATATTTTTTGGTTTTTTGTTTTTGTTTTGATTTTTTTTTTTTTTTTTTTGTAAACACACACCATTGTGATCTGTGATTTTAAAAGCCATTTACAGGATTGGACCAGAGGTTTGATTTATTAGATTTTATTATGTTCATGGGGGGTGATTGTGGTGGTGCTGTAAAAAGAGAGGGAAGATACCCCTGTGATCCAGTTTTGAAATTTAGCATTCATCTGATTACAAGACTGCAGATATTCAAAAATATTCAGACCTAGATCCCTGCAATTGTTAACATCTGAAAAACCTTATCGGGAGTTTACAAAAAGAGCGATTACACAGCATGCAGCCTAGTTCAGCGCCTACCTTGAAGAGACATAGAAACAGGGTTTCTAATTAGATGAAGTCCCTCACAGACACTTAAAGACTTACAGCACCAAAACCAGCAGAAGTTGCTTAGATGCTCTAAAAAGCTGTGTATTTTTTAAGAGAGAGATTTAATATACAATCCAGGGATACCCTCAGGCATTCTGTTGAGGTTTCCTGCATAAATGCTGGAAATGCATTGGTCATACAGGAAACTGACTCAGACTCGATCTCAAATATGATCTTGTCAAAATACTGCAACTCAAGTTTTTAAATATAGGATGTCTTGAACTGGATGTATATATTTACGCTAACAGGACAGAGACTAACTGAAGCCTTAGGCATCTCTCCTGTATTTAAAAAAAATACGTAAAATGCCCTTCAGTCAAGTCCATTCATATGTAAAAAAATGAACAAAACGGGTTATTCTAATCAAATGTCTGCAGTATGCATCATAAAGTTAAAAAGAAAGAGAGAAAGCATGAGAGAGCTGTAATTTCTCTTTGTAACCCATGTTTATAAAATAGAAAGATCAGATGAAATTTCAAGGAAGATAATTAAAGAGTGATGTGCAAGTCATAATTTGGCTAATGCAAAGATGGGAGACTCTGAATTGTTACATTGTCCTCCTTCATTGTGCAGAGTTGTGATATTACTTTAAATTATTAAAATAGTTTTCATCTTTAAGAATACCGGCTCTTTGGCATGGGCTTTTATTACTTATTGTAATTGGAGGATCTGCCATTTTCTTTCGTTTATCTCTGTGTGTATAGAAACGAGATAGATCTTGCCTTTTATTACTTCCCCATGTTCTGAATCAAAAATGTGGTTTAGATAATGTTAAGTGCCCTAATTCTTACTGCAGCGGACGCAGACGTTATGAGAAGGCATAAAAATACAGAGAGGGTCTTTCCACCTCAAGTCACTGAATATGAGGCATTTGTGCTCTGCCGGGTGTATTAACTTCAGCCATGTGAATATAATTTTCATTAAAGTAATCCTGTTTCAACTAGATGCTGTGACTAGAGGTGAAACGTTGCGAAAGCGTTAAAAATAGCTTACTAGTAATTTCAACATCCTGTAATTTTATCACAGATCAAGTTTCAACTGTCATACTATACAGACCTTATTCCCCATATAGTACATGTTTACTTTTTTAGCATGCCAGACCCACTTTAGAAAGACTGGTGCCAATATAATAAATTCGGGGGGGGGGGCGGGAGGTGCTGGAAGGAGTGGGAGGAGAACGGGGAAGGGGGTGGGGAGCGTGGGGGAAGCGAGTACACCATTTTACATCAACACTGCGAAAATGCAATCTAGCCTGGCGGAGGACGGGCAGCTGGGTCGGAGCGAGCGAGGGCTTTGCAGTCTCTGCCTGTTCCTTGTTCTGTCGCTCTTAAGTTTCTCTGTGTTTGCATAATAGCCGTGCATGCAAACCTCGCAATGCTCCAGGGCTCCAGAACAATAAATATACACATTTAAAACCTTTATTGTCTTACGGTTCATGCCCCCGGTTTTCAACAGCTTAATTTCTGGTTGTATTTAACTAGTTTGCAAATGGATTTTTTCAGTTTCAAACTATTATTGAGGAAGCTCCCCTCCCTTTTTTGGCGGGGGAGGGGATGGGGGTGGGGTAGGAGTCGGTATATTATTCCTGTAGCGCTGGGTTATATAAACACATTATCATTTGAGAGCGCCCTTGGCGTCCATCAGCATTGTAAACACGTACTAGTGTATATACTTCAAAATTAAAGAATGCACACGCAGAACCGGGAGCCTGAATTCATATTCCGAGCAGACTCGCTGCTCGCATTTATTGATTTATCATGCATCGTTTATTGTTCCAGTCCCTAAATGCAGTCGCTGTCCGTTCAATATTGTTTGCAAAATCCTGAGATGTGTGTGCACTGCTCACTTGTCTTTCTGTTTTTTGGGGTTTTTTTGCCGAGTATTTTTTGCGAAGCGAACAAATGCATTAATATTTATATGTTTATATAATCGATAACCCACTTTTCCCTTCCATGTAAATAGGCATCAAAATATGATTTAACAGATTAGTTCTCGAAAACATGGCAGTGAGGAAGCGTAATTTAACTATCAAACAAATCTACATGTCTAATAACAGCAAATCTGCTAAGGAGCATTAGAAAGAGGAGCAGCGCCCCGGAATCTCTGCAGGAAATGTTCTTTATATTAGACATATACAAGCAGGTCCTGTCAGATGCACAGCGGAGCTCGCTAGCTCTCGTCTCTTCCAAAAATCTCATTAAACGACACCCCTAGACAAGGGAGATTGGGAAGAGGGAGATCTCATCTTCACACAGTTTTAGGGTGGATTTTATTTTTACAAACCGTCCTATATGTTTTTTGCCTTGATCCATCCGCTTCCCGCCGAGATCGGACGGAACCTTCCTTCCGATTATGAATTTGATCATTCCACATTTGGAAGGAAACCTACACAGTTTTGACAGGAGCTGAAAATTGAGTCGTCAGAGAAATATTAGGACATATTTTCAATCATTTTGGTGCCGAAGGGGAGGCAAGAGCTGAGTTTTATATTGAGACATTACGCCAGCTGAAGGCAGAGAATGTTTTTCCCTGCCAGGACCTGATGCAATCCATTCAAGCCAACAAGTTTGGAGAGAATGTTGAGTTCAATCAATTCAGAACGTCGAGATGGAGCCCAACTCACTCCAGGTATTTCGCTCTCCTCCGCTCCTCCGATCCCGGCACCCCCCGGCACCCCCCAGCCCCCCAGCTCACCCACACCTCTGCACCCACCCACACCCCCCACAAACTTTTCACCAAACTTTTACCCTCTGCATCCCCCCAAATCATTTTTATTGTTTAAAAAAATCCCTGCACTGATCATACATACATAATGTAATTTTACCGCCTCAGATGGAGAAGTAGGGAGAGGTGGCGGTGGGGGTGCCCGGAGTTTTTTTTTTTTTTTTTTTTTTAAGGGAAGCAGAAAATTTGTGGGCTCTATTATTTTTCCACCCAGCTTTATATCTGTTGGCTCTTCTGTATTAAGAGTGTGGATGTCTGTGTGTAAATGTGTCTGGGAATAGATGTTTGTGCTCTGATGGCTACGTTATTTATTTGGTGCTTTTTTTCCCCTGCAGTGGGTCGGCTCACCGTGTGGCTTGCACGGACCTTACATTTTCTACAAGGCTTTTCAATTCCACCTTGAAGGCAAACCAAGAATTTTGTCCCTTGGCGACTTTTTCTTTGTAAGATGTACGCCAAAGGATCCGATTTGCATAGCGGAGCTCCAGCTGTTGTGGGAAGAGAGGACCAGCCGGCAACTTTTATCCAGCTCTAAACTTTATTTCCTCCCAGAAGACACTCCCCAGGGCAGAAATAGCGACCATGGCGAGGTGGTAAACTTATATCTCCCTCTCTTCTTTCTTTATTATCCCCCCCCCCCAAGTAATGCTTATTACAGGGCAAGCTTGAAAATACTGTATTCACTTCTGCAGGCGAGCAGGATCGACTCCTTTTTTAAAGGGGTAGCGCCACTAGCTGGGGCTCGAGTATTTTGCCATTGTCAGAGTTTGGCTGTCAGCTTTACAAAGAGGATCCAACTGCTGATTTTAGTCAAGATCAAATAACTTGTTCGAGAAGGGTTTTGTTCAAGGATATGTGTGTGTGTGTGTGTGAGAGAGAGAGAGAGACAGGGAGAGAGAGGGAGAGAGAGATCGTTCGCTCTCTTGCTACTGCGCTTGAACATCACATGCTTTTTATATTTTTTTTGCCTTTTGAAAATCTTACCTTCGCGTCTGGCTCGGTCGGGGCTGGGTGGATTTCTTTCGGTGGGTTTCGATATTGTTCACTTTTTTTTTTAAGTAAGTATTTGATATGTTTAAGAGGGCGGAAATTACGAAATGGAGGCAGAGTGAGATCAAAAGCTATTGAGTTGGCAAAGACGTGTTGAATAAAGTGATAAATGACAGGTACTGGAATAATACATTCAAATAACTTGCAGATCTGCCCGGGCGGATTTCAAAGCGGTCGTGTAACCGGCACAAACACGTTAAGCATTAACAACTATCTCTCGCCCCCACCCCGGACAAGCCATTTGATGTTCTAGTTTTCAATTACTCCACGCAAAGTGGACGTCTTCCAGCGCGATCTTTGGGGATGTGTGGGACCGGGACGGGGGAGGGAAGGCAGAGGGGTGTGTGCTCGCCCACTGGCCCGGCGAGTCCGGCGGCCTCCGTGCCCAGACGGCGCTCCGGGGGAGGGTGGGGAGGGACCGAGCTTCGCCGGCACGTTTCTGGGCGGCCGCAGGGGCGCTAGCCGCGCTCCCGGGAGGACGCCCGAGGTGAGCTGCTGTCACCGGGCGCCGGGGCGGCCGCCTCCCTTCGGCTCTGTCATTTCATGTGTGACCGCAGTTCTGCGGGCTCCCCTCGTCAGCTGACCGACCTCAGCGCCGTGATACCCACCAGGGGAACTATTTTGGGGAGGCTGTGCCCTCGGTGCGGTGGGAGGGAGGGCGCGCGGCCGCCTGGCAAGGCTTTGTGTTGCCCGAGCGAGAGCAGGGTGATCAAACTGAGACTTTTGAGGGCAGCTAGCTCTGTGCCAGGCCCTCGAGCTTTCGAGGTAGATGTAAGGATCTTTTTGTTAAATGAATGGTTCCTCGTTTAACTCATCCCGGAGCGTGGAGCTGCCTGCCAGTCCTTCCACAATTCCTTGGTTTGATGGAGTTGATTGTACTTTTGGCATCGCCAGTTCACTCCCTCTCCCAGGATCGAATTACCCATCAGTGGTCTATGCCGGTTAATTACTGGAGTTCGTCAAAACCTTCGCCCTCAGATCTGCCTCTTCGGAAATAAGCCCCGCCCTCCTCCCCGAACGTTCCCCCCTCACACTGCCCTCCCCGGGCAGCTTTGGGTTTTAAACGTTCATACTTCCCGACGTCTGCCTGCAATTTTACAAAGGTGTTGTTTGGAAATACTGGGAAAAAATACTGCAACCTACCAACAGGTTGAGCTCTTTCCCCCTCCCAAGGTCTAGCTCGGCCCCCTCCCCCGCCCCAACTTTCCTGCGCAGCTGTCTTCCTCCCCTCCCCCTCCTGATTTCTTATTATTTGCTTTTCAAATTTATTACTTCAACATGGCCTGTGATCTGGAAAAGGGAAGGATTAAATATCCAGAAAAGAGCTGGTGCCTAATAGACTTCTGACTAAACCCAGAAGGAAATTATTCAGTGTTTTATGAGATATTTTGTGGTCACTCTCCTCTCTCTTTTTTTTTTTAATTGAAACTGAAATATTTTTAAAGACCCCGAGTTGACCCCACTTGGTCCAGTTTTAATTTCTGTTGGTGTAATTAAATAGTGAATTCTGATTTAAGAATAAAAACAGTATTAGCCGAAGGTTGCATCTGTTAGAACTGCTGATAATGAATAGATACACAGTATTTTTAAATAAACGATGTTAAAAAATTGTTCATTAAGGGGAAATGAAAGCGAGCCGTTGTAATGATCTGCACATTTCGTCACTGCTATATGAGCCATACCTAAGAAAATTAATCTTGTCATTTAAAAGTAAACTCTAGGGGGTTTGGGGAGGGAGATGGCTCTATTTATAATCCTCAGCTGCATATACATCGTCTAATATTATGCATGATTTGTTTTTTAATGCTAACACGGCTGGTAATTAGCTGTATGATTATACTTGTATATTTCATTAGGACTTCGGCTGATGTCATTGTGAATTATTCAGCCATATTAAAACAATTTTCAATTGAGATAATGACACGCCTCAAAATTATGCAAATGCAGGCTGCATTGTGCAAAATAATTATGACAAATGTAAAGCAGGTAGAAAGTTTCCCAATGCAGATTGCTTTTCCACCCTGGTGATGTCATTTCCCCCCCTGGCCTAAGTTAGTCATTCATTAGCTGAATAGCAGCCCCAGTCTCCTCTGGAGGAGAGCCTACAGAAACCAGCATTTACTGCAGGCACCTAGAGGGGGCAACAGGGTCCTCTCATTAAGAAATTTGCTTTGTTTTCACTTACTCCATTAACTTGTTTATATACAGTGAAATGATTTTTGTTATTGATTTTAAATAGTTTGGAATGATGCATTTGCCATTTGCAAAGTGTAACTGAAAGAAAAAGGTTTCTTGGTGATGTGCACTGTTACTTGGAGAAAATGTTCAGCACATTTAATCAGCCAGGACAGTTTATTTTAAGTAACCAAATGGAGGTTAATAATTTCTTGATTGAGCTGACATCAGCATCCATTTCAAAAGGACAGCCAGGACTCAGTATGCTTTTTTGGTTTAAGAGAACCATTCTGTCTATTTATGATTTCTTGAAATGTAAAGACGTCAGTTCTAAAAGCAGGAAAATTATCATTGTGCGAGATTAGAAATAGCGTCCCTGTGTGGTTTGCTATCATCTGCAGAGGGCCTTTTTGGGGAATATTTTATTGATTCTTACAATAATTGTATGAGGCTGGATAAGGCAGGACTTTGTATGCCATTTTACAGATGGAGACAGAGGCTTAGAGAAATTATGTGGTTTGTCAAAGGTCACCAGGCCAGAACGCAGGCTTTTCTAAGCTTTAGGGTTGTTGTTTTTTTCCCCCACTAAACCTTACCCTTGACACCAGAGTTTTAATGCATCATATTATATTCTAGAAGTATGCCCTAATGTGGGCTGGTCCTTGTTCATTTTAGAATTATGACTAGTCAATCCGTTTTGCCAGAGGTCACTGGATTTTAGGTAGCAGAACCATTCTTATTCTATAAAGTTCAACTGATTCGAGCTAGTGGTATCCTAAGTTGCGTTTTAATACCATTATTAATAATCATTACCAATTTATTATTGGTTATAATAACTATGATAATGACTTAACTGCTGCCTTCACATAACTTCCAGTGCTGGCAACTGGTGTAGAGGAAAAGCAGTCCAGAAAGAGTTACATCTTGATTCTGCAACTTAGTATTTGTTCGACCTTGAACCAGCATAAACACTCTGAGCCTCAGTTTCTTCAGCAGCAAAATGGGGACAATAATGAGGCTGACTGTGGATTGTGAATATCAAGAGGCATTGTATGGGCAAAAGTACTTCAAAAACAGTACAGTCCTTAAAAATAGAAAAGAGGGATGATTGCGGTGACCTTTATTCTAGATATTAATTTATAAACAATAAGCAGGATAACTTTTATGCCTGTGTGGAGGTTCCCAGGCCTAATCATGATACTGTCTTAAATTACCATGAAAGTGAATAGCAGAGCCATATACAAGGAGTTAAGTATCCTTAGTAATTACCCCCAATCGCCACATTCAGCCACAACCTCTTCAGAGGAGGAAAATGGCAAAGTAGGCGGGTAATTGGTTCTGTTACTGGGTAACTTCTGATTATATTCATTTTCAAATTGCCAAGCGCTTAATCTATCGGCAATATACACTCTTAAAAGAGGTGGATGTGCAAGCTTGGATTTCAGCCTGACCGTGGGCTGGATTCTACAAGAAGCTTTACTGGGCACCTACAACTTTGAGTGTGGATGAGTAAGCTAATGATGTCAGGAAGTCAAGATCAAGCGCACCTGGGCATTACAGATAGTAATGACACGTAGTCAGGATTTCTACAAGTGGTTACTATCTGGTTAAAAATTGTCAAACATTCATATTCCAGAGCCCCTGTTGAAATTAACTCGATTGGAATCTCTGGAACTGGGGTCCAGGATCCTGCATTTTAAACATTGCCTCACTTTCCTCATCTATGAAATGGAAATACAGTACCTACTCCCTAGGATTGCCTTAAGGATTAAATGAGTCAATACATGTGAAGTGCTTACAACTGAGATTGGCCCATAGTAGATTCTTCAGTAGTGGTGGACTCACTGTTTTTATCATTAATATTTGTATTGCTGTTCTCATTGAAATTTGAGACCACTACCACTACTTTCCTTTTTTTTTTTTTTAAGATTTTATTTATTTGAGACAGAGAGCACAGCCAGGAGGAGGGGCAGAGGGAGAGGGAGAAGCATACTCTCCGCTGAGCAGGGAGCCAGATGTGGGGCTCGATCCCAGGACCCCGGGATCATGACCTGAACCAAAGGCAGAGGCTTAACCGACTGAGCCACCCAGGCACCCCCCACCACTACCTTTCCTAAAGAAAGGTTTTCTCTGTGAGAGGACAGCATCTAGGTTAGTTTGCTAGGACAAATACCCGATATAGGTCTCCCCAAATCAGGTTGGCTTTCATCCATATGATGAGTTTAGCTATGGCACCAAAATAAAAAGTTCCTTAAAGATTTACATTTCAGTATGGAGCTATGCTGTCATCTGGATCGGCAGGATGTGTTTAAAAGATTGCCTGCTTGTATCACATCTCGTGTTAGTCAGACACGTTCTGAAATCT